AGATTAAAGTTTATGGGTTTTATTTTGTATCCCTGTCGACCCTGTTTAAACTCATCAGTGCTAGTAGTGCTGTAGGTTTTCGAAATTAAATTAATTCTTCTCATTCGTTCTCTATCGCTCATTTGTTACTTTTTCTGCTCTAACTTGTATGAAGAATAGGGACATAATATTAGTTCATCTTTCAGTTATTGTTCATGAGAAAGCTGTTTCACAATTTCCGTTTGTTTCTTTCTTTCTTTAGGACCCTGATGTAGCAGACAAGGCGAATCCGACGTCTTGTTCAAGATCAGAGAAGAAATCCTTGAAGAAGAACAGCAGTGACATCCCACTGGCTCAGGTAACTCGACGAGCCCGTTCATTTCTGGTTTAATGTTGGCAGAAGGCTTATCATAGCAGTTCACTACATAGCCCTTGGCTTTTCTTGTTCTGTTTCAGCTCAAAACCAAATGGACAAAGGCAAAAAAAACAGAGGACAATGACGAAGACTTTACTCCGGGTTCTTCAAGAAAAAAGTGAGTGCACACACATACACACCGACCGGCTTTCATAGCTTGGGATGAAAAATCATCCTAGGAATGAAACGGTTTATCACCACTGTACTAACTTGAAATTTTTCAATTAAGTCACTTATTTTGCTTAACAAGTCTTCTCCCCCCAAAGCATTTTTAAATGTTCATCCGTAAGATAATCAATTTTCTTAATATTTTCGCAGACGAAGTCGCGCGAGCACAAGACAATCTGTAAGAACCAAACAGACGACGTCCGCGACAAAGTCGACGACTTTATCAGTAAGAAAGGCATCAATGGTAAGGTTTTTTAGAAGTTGTTACCTGGTTAGTGCTTTGGAATTCGTATCAGTTTGTTATCAATGGATGCTGGAGTGTATTCTGAGTTGTTTTGTGCTAGAACCCATGAAGTGCCATATTGAATTTTTAGCTCCGAATTTTGAATTTCTAGTGTTCTGATTGGTTCACTTAACTCCGGTTATCAGTTCATATTCCAAGATACGATACGAGATTGGTTATCACCAGCGCCCCGTTGGCTATTTATTACCATCTCATGTCCAACACGCGCTCATGTTAATAATTAACAAATGGTAAACACCACAGTGTACACTATTGAGTTATGGATGCACGCGGGAGGTTGCCAAGCACGAAAGTAGCGTAAGAGTCTCTAGCTTCTTTAGTGCATCCATAACTCAATAGTGTACGCTGTGGTGTTTACCATTTGTTTTATAACATAACATTGATACATGTAGCTAAAGAGTTCCCTTTTATTTAACAAATCTTACGCGACCAGGAAAAACAAGCGCGCGCGGAAAAATAGTCTTTGCATTTGCTCACGTCAGCAGCGTACACCCATGGGCAAATGAGGGACGCTAAATTGACCAATCAGAGCGCGCGCTTTACTTTGGTTATGTTATAATTGTTTATTATTACAAGTAGCTAAGAGTGGACGCTACAGTTTTATTTTCCGCATTCCTGATATTTTTTTACCCCTGGCCTTTTATTTAAGAATAGCATTTATAGAGTTTTCTGGATTTTTCGATAACAGCAGGTGATCTTCACAGAGCTAGAAGGCAACTCTCCTTTTTGCTGGCCTATATAAACTAATTTGGAGCTCATCAAAATTGATGTTGCTGGTCAGTCAGCGCCACAGAGATGATTATAGCCAACTCGTCGCCACGCGCCTCGTTGGCTATCTATCATCTCATATCCAACGCGCGCTCGTGGAATAATTGTTAATTATATCTAACTTGCAGAACGAGACAGAGACATCTGAAGGAGAGTCAAAGGAGAGAAAACTCTTCCAAGACTTGCAAGTAAACACTGCAGGTGTGAAATTTTGTGGAGTAATGACCCAATATCGAACCTAAGATGACCTAATTCGTACCCATTGATTAGGTGTGTCTTTTATAGAACTCTAACCTATAGATCTGTTTTTAAGTTGACGACAGTGATAAGAGCACATCGCAACCAAATGAAGAAACAGATAATATTCCACCAAAGTTAACTCGATCCTCCACGAAGAAGGGAAAGAAGCTGTTCAAGAAACCTTCTGGGGTGACAGCACTCTTGTCTCCGGCAAAACAGGTACAGTGATCTCCATGGGGCACAATCCAACCAGCTTGAAGTGGGATACTTTTCCTCCAACTAAGATTTTTTAGGGTATCTCACTGTATTTGCATCTTTTGATACCTTAAGGAATGTCGCGAAGTGAAGAAAGAGCAAGACTCCACAACAACCATCATTGCCAGACAATTGCGTCCCCGAGCTGTGAAATATTTTAAGAAATAGAATTGTAGAGTTATTTTTTGAAGTAGCGAAGAAAAAACTCGTAATATTAGAATTTAAAAGTTAATCCATGTGATTAACTCTTAAGCTTAACTATTACCAAAGCTGTTCTATACTATTCAGTAACTAATGAATACATAACTATGGAGATTTGAAACTAAATTGTGAACATACCAATCATAAGATGAGTAGCCAATTTCGAGACCTGTACCTCGCAAGGCTATTAACTGTAACATGGGAAGTCATTGAATCACGAATCCAGCCCATACTTACTATTAAAAATATTTGTTCCACTTTGACCAAAAATTCCTCTTAGGAGTAGATTTCTCTCTCTTTTCAGAAAATTTGATCAGAGAGAAAAATATACAGTCTCTTGTCCCTTTTCACTTCTTGACAAAAGTAATAACGGTAATAAGACGGAGCGGAGTTCCTGCGTTGGTCATTGTAATCAATTCTGTGATGACAGGATTGAGCTTAAAGATTTAAAAACAGCAGTATCATTGCTTTTTGTTTCATTTTTTTTTTTTTTTTTAACTTTTCTGCCGGAATTATAGATAAAAGTTTAAGGTTATCAAGTTCAGGAGCACCAGATCGTTATATCGTGCTGAAAACAATTTATATATTGTGATTACAGTACTTTCATCTAGCATAATCTGTTTTGTTATCGCTCGCTAAACAGCTTTTTAGTCATGCTCTTACTGACTAAACTGTGTCGTAGTTTGGTGGACTTGATAAGCGCGTATTATCGAGAACAAAATCTGTTTTCAGTGAGGAGGTTAATTAGGCTGTCTGAGGCATTCATAGTGACTGATTTTTCAGGCTGAGCTGACATGTGTTAATTTTATTTTCTAAAATTGTGAGCGTGGCGAGAACCCACAGCTTCATTTAATTGTTTTATATATATAGATAATTAGGGAGAGAACTAAAGTAAATTGTTGTTTGAAAGAAAAGTAAGAGATTAGTATAGAAATAGTAAAAGGCATGTTTGTCGACTGAACGGAGGGCTGCCAGACAAATGCTCCCGTCTGGGGGTCGCAATTTTACGTCGTGTGTTTCCACTTGCTCCCATCTCTTCTTTCCTCCACCCAGTCAATACAATGCATCGATTTCTTTATTATCGGCTGCTTGACTTCCAGTTTCATGTGCCTAAGTTTCTCCACTCTTCGCTCTAGTTCTCTAGGGTGAATCGTTAAGGTTTTCTTATTATTATTAATAAGCGCCCCCCTCCCCCCCCCAAAGTACCTGAAACAAACAAGCCCCCCCCGGCGGACTTATTAGAGATTTACGGTACCCCACAAAAACAGATGAAAAGACACGTCACAATGCCTTCTTCTCTCGCTTTAGCTGCCCATCATCAGGTTGCAAAATATCGACTCTAAGAAAGCGCTGCTAAGGGAACAAAGGAGATAAGTTTCTAAATAAACTGTAGTACTGCGTCGGTGAGGGTATTGCAAGCTCCGACGAGGGGCTAACGCTCGAAACGTCAGCTTTTGTAATCGTTACGGTGGCCAATTTACCATTTCAACTTTGTTGATATATCCAAATTATTTAGTTACTCCCACCGATGCAGCCCCAAAAAGTTTCTTTCGAAACTATCAGCCTTTATTGCAAGCTAGTTTGGCCGCCGTAAAGAGATTCTGAAGCTGACGTATTGAGCGTACGTGAGAGCCCTTCGTAATAGCGTTAACCATTAAACTGTCAAGAGTAAGGCCCTGTTTACAAGCAAGGAGGGTAACCCTTGTGCTAAGGTTACCCTAGCAGGCGGGTCAAAGATAGCCCGGGTTTACAAGCAAAATTTCACAGATAGGGTTACCCTACCACCCGGGACAACTTACCTATGCTTGGTAACCGCACGCATTGTTATCAATGTTCAAAGGGTCTGGAAACAAGTAAAAAGTTGTCCCGGGTAGGCGAGTTATCCCTTTTGATGTAACAATACACAGATTCTGG